AAAAAAAAAAAAAAAAAAGTCCAGGTGATATATTTATATTGCTGTTTGGTACCACAAGTAATATAATTTTCTATTGGTTTCACTGTACACGTGGCATCCATGTGTACAAAAAATAAGTCACATCATCAACAAAAGGGATCTATATTGAATTACTATTGCCACATAATGTCACGTCAATTTTTGGGTGCCACGTAATGTATTTTTTAACGGTTCCGTAATGGCACGTTAAAATATTGAGTTTTTTACAGGTTTTGAAAAGTTGAGGGTGTGAATAGGAAGGAAAAATTTTGGAAGGTGTTAACCACGAAAAAAAAATAAATTGAGGGTGCAAATAGGGGCTTTGGCCTAAATAAAATTGATTTCCTTAAATCCCATTTTTAAGATGGTTAAATGCCAAATCTAGTTTTAAAATTTTTAATTCTGAACAATTTTAGTTCTTAAATTATTTTGTATTTTTTTTATCTCTCAATTATAAAAAATACATTTTTTTAGTTATTTTCTCAGTTTTGTCCATTAAATGTGTTCATCTAACAAAAGTTTAGGACTAAAAATGTATAGGTATTAGTTCAGCGACAAATTTGTGCACAAAATAAAAGTTTAGGACTAAAAAAATACTAATTGTACGAACTTAATGGACGAAAATGACTGAACGAAAAAAAGTATATTTTATATCATTGAGCGACAATAAAAAAATACAAAAAATAATTTAGGGACTAAAATTGTTTAAAATTAAAACCTCATAGACTAAATAAATTTGACATTTAATCTTCTAAGATTTCAACGTTACATTTGATTTGCAAACTATACTTGATTATCAGGGAATAAAAGCCCTGATATTATCTTATGTTTGGATTCTGCCTCCCCTGTGCTGAACTGGCCCAAACCTTGCAAATCTCCGGTGTTTCCTTAGCAGGGTGAAGCCTTAAACTGACATTGCAAACTATTTACTAAAAATTTGTAAATTAGAATTTCAAAATTTCAAGAACCACTCAAGACAGTCCATATGTAATTGAGAGATGAATATTTCTTATACCTATAGATATTTTATGGATCGCAGCTGCATAATTGGCGTAGAACACATGAAGTCTTCTGAAAAAACATCTGATAGGCTTCGAATCATTACCAAAAGTTGTCACTCTAACAAGCTCTCAATAAATCAAATAGAGGGTCACAATCATATAATTTCGATGTCAGTTGAATGATATGAAGCTGAATGTACATTCAGTGGGACAATGTTATTAATAACTGGTTAGAGTATTTCGAAATATTAGTATATAAGTTGATTTTAAATTATTAAATAATAATTATTAATTATTAATTTATAATTATTAATTATTTTTAACAATTAAATTGAATAAATTTACCACGTATTTACGAAGCCTTAACAAATTTCCATGTGGCCAAGCTGAAAGAGATCGTGTTGTATGTTTCAAGAATGACATGGAGAAAAATAATTTCCAAGTTGAAGATTACATACAGATGCACGTTGAAGAAGACAGATGAAATCACGAGAAGATATATCTTTGACAATACATATTGATTATTACACATTTTAATTCAATATGTTACACATTATATTTATTAAAAAATTATTATTTTTATTTAAAATTTAAAATAAATATATTTAAAAATATAATCATGTATATATGATATA